GTTTGCACGTCCTTGGTCCAGCAAGCATGTCCGCCTCTACCACCTCTTTTTCCGCCGTGTCCTCAGCCGCCACCCCCCCGTGCCAAGTCCCATTACCCGACCGGCATATCACATGTGCAGGGCGCAACGGTGTCACGCTGTGCTGCACCTGGTATGCCTTGGCGAACGTAGTCACACAGGGGAGGAACTGCTGAGTGTAATGAACAGAGAAATCGACAGATGGCTGTCTCCGCGCAAACTAAAAATCGGAACCATGTTGACTGACAACGGAAAGAACATGGTGTCTGCTCTGCGTCAAGGAAGGTTGTGCCATGCGCCATGCATGGCTCACGTGTTCAATCTGGTTGTCAAGCGGTTCCTAAAATCCACCATCCCACTGCAAGACATCCTTAAAATGTCACGTAAACTGTGCATGCATTTCAGCCATTCCTACACCGCAAAGAACACCCTCATTGAGCTGCAGCGGCAGAACGGAATTCCACAGCATCGCCTGATCTGCGACGTTGCAACAAGGTGGAATTCAACCCTACACATGTTAGACCGCCTTTACGAGCAGCGAAAGGCCATCACCGATTTCCTGATGTTACAAGCGGATAAAGGTACTCCCCTGTGTAACTTAGATGTCAGCCATTGGCAGCTCATGCGTGACACCTGCCGCTTGCTCAGGCCCTTTGAGGAGGCCACGCTATTCGTGAGTCGGCAGGACTATGGGATGAACGACGTCATTCCTCTGTTGCACGTCCTGGAACAAATGCTGTTAACAATGGCTGGTCAGGGTGCGGTAGACGTGGCGCACAGATCTCAACGCCACATGACCCCTGTGGGGGCAGGACAGGAAGAAGAGGAGGAGGTAGAGGAGGACATTTGTGCTCAGGAATTATGAGTGAAATGGGTGGTTTTTCCACTCAGCGGACAGGAGTGGAGGAGCAGGAGCATCTGGTAGAGGAGGAGGAGGAGGAGACAGAGGACCCAGACGCACCGTGGCAGTATGCTGTGGAGATGGAGGCAGGGAGTCCCTCGCATTCCTTGGCACAAATGGCCCATAGCATGCTCGGTTGCTTGCGTAGCGACAGCCGAATAATAACCATCAGACAGAGGGATGACTTTTGGCTGTCCACCTTGTTGGACCCTCGCTACCGGTCCAAAATGGTGGCCTTTTTCACACCTGCTGAGAGGGAGGCCAAAATTACGTACTATAAAAACCACCTATGTAGTCAGTTGGTCTCTGCCTTTGTGCGCCAACGTCCATCCTCAGACACTGTGGGCCCTGTGCGCTCGCGTTCCGCTGGCATGGCAGGGGAGGGGGGGGGGTGGTAGGAGCAGTGGCAGCTCCACCAGCAGCGGCTGCCTCAGTCTGCAGTCGATGATGAGTAGCTTTCTTCACCAGCGCAGTGAGGAAACTACTAACTAACCAGCAGCAGCAGCAGCAGCAGCAGCATCAGGTGGACCTGGAGCAGGAGCTCAAACAACAGGCTTGGGCCTACTTGGACAGCACCCTGCCAACCGAGGTAGACAATCCCCTTGACTACTGGGCAACGAAACTTGACCTTTGGCCCCAACTAGCTGAATTTGCCCTTGAAAGGCTGTCATGCCCGGCCAGTAGCGTGGCATCGGAGCGCGTGTTTAGTGCGGCAGGAGGTATTGTAACTCCGCGGAGGACACGACTGTCCACCCAAAGTGTGGAGAGACTCACGTTTGTGAAAATGAATCAGGCGTGGATTAGTCTGGATTTCAAACCACCAGTTCCTGACACAACTGACTAAATCCGCCATGAATCATGCCTCAAACATGTGCCACTTTCAGGTCTCCTCACACTGCTGGTGTGTTTAATTTTTTGACATAGGGTGCTGGCAGATTACGGGCCTCCTATAGCTGCTGCCAGGCCCCTAATCTGCCTGCCATAGGCCCCTATATACCGCCTCCTCATGCTGCTGCCAAGTCCAGAGTCTCTCATGGGTCCCTGTACGGCCTCCCATTGCTGCTGTCTCCATCGCCACACTCTGCTGCCATGTGCCACTTTCAGGTCTCTTCACACTGCTGGTGTGTTAAATTTTTTGACATAGGGTGCAGGCAGATTACGGGCCTCACATAGCTGCTGCCAGGCCCCTAATCTGCCATGGGCCCCTATATATACCCCTGCTGCTGCCTCCTCATGCTGCTGCCAAGTCCCAGAGTCTCATGGTCCCTGTACGGCCTCCCATTGCTGCTGTCTCCATCGCCACACTCTGCTGCCATGTGCCACTTTCAGGTCTCTCACACTGCTGGTGTGTTAAATTTTTTGACATAGGGTGCTGGCAGATTACGGGCCTCACATAGCTGCTGCCAGGCCCCTAATCTGCCATGGGCCCCTATATACCGCCTCCTCATGCTGCTGCCAAGTCCAGAGTCTCTCATGGGTCCCTGTACGGCCTCCCATTGCTGCTGTCTCCATCGCCACACTCTGCTGCCATGTGCCACTTTCAGGTCTCTTCACACTGCTGGTGTTTAAATTTTTTGACATAGGGTGCAGGCAGATTACGGGCCTCACATAGCTGCTGCCAGGCCCCTAATCTGCATGGGCCCCTATATACCGCCTCCTCATGCTGCTGCCAAGTCCAGAGTCTCTCATGGGTCCCTGTACGGCCTCCCATTGCTGCTGTCTCCATCGCCACACTCTGCTGCCATGTGCCACTTTCAGGTCTCTTCACACTGCTGGTGTGTTAAATTTTTTGACATAGGGTGCAGGCAGATTAGGGCCTTACGGGCCTCACATAGCTGCTGCCAGGCTGCCCCTAATCTGCCATGGGCCCCTATATACCGCCTCCTCATGCTGCTGCCAAGTCCAGAGTCTCTCATGGGTCCCTGTACGGCCTCCCATTGCTGCTGTCTCCATCGCCACACTCTGCTGCCATGTGCCACTTCAGGTCTCTTCACACTGCTGGTGTGTTAAATTTTTTGACATAGGGTGCAGGCAGATTACGGGCCTCACATAGCTGCTGCCAGGCCCCTAATCTGCCATGGGCCCCTATATACCGCCTCCTCATGCTGCTGCCAAGTCCAGAGTCTCTCATGGGTCCCTGTACGGCCTCCCATTGCTGCTGTCTCCATCGCCACACTCTGCTGCCATGTGCCACTTTCAGGTCTCTTCACACTGCTGGTGTGTTAAATTTTTTGACATAGGGTGCAGGCAGATTACGGGCCTCACATAGCTGCTGCCAGGCCCCTAATCTGCCATGGGCCCCTATATACCGCCGCCTCCTCATGCTGCTGCCAAGTCCAGAGTCTGTCATGGGTCCCTGTACGGCCTCCCATTGCTGCTGTCTCCATCGCCACACTCTGCTGCCATGTGCCACTTTCAGGTCTCTTCACACTGCTGGTGTGTTTAAATTTTTTGACATAGGGTGCAGGCAGATTACGGGCCTCACATAGCTGCTGCCAGGCCCCTAATCTGCCATGGGCCCCTATATATACCGCCTCCTCATGCTGCTGCCAAGTCCAGAGTCTCTCATGGGTCCCTGTACGGCCTCCCATTGCTGCTGTCTCCATCGCCACACTCTGCTGCCATGTGCCACTTTCAGGTCTCTTCACACTGCTGGTGTGTTAAATTTTTTGACATAGGGTGCAGGCAGATTACGGGCCTCACATAGCTGCTGCCAGGCCCCTAATCTGCCATGGGCCCCTATATACCGCCTCCTCATGCTGCTGCCAAGTCCAGAGTCTGTCATGGGTCCCTGTACGGCCTCCCATTGCTGCTGTCTCCATCGCCACACTCTGCTGCCATGTGCCACTTTCAGGTCTCTCTCACACACTGCTGGTGTGTTAAATTTTTTGACATAGGGTGCAGGCAGATTACGGGCCTCACATAGCTGCTGCCAGGCCCCTAATCTGCCATGGGCCCCTATATACCCCGCCTCCTGCATGCTGCTGCCAAGTCCAGAGTCTCTCATGGGTCCCTGTACGGCCTCCCATTGCTGCTGTCTCCATCGCCACACTCTGCTGCCATGTGCCACTTTCAGGTCTCTTCACACTGCTGGTGTGTTAAATTTTTTGACATAGGGTGCAGGCAGATTACGGGCCTCACATAGCTGCTGCCAGGCCCCTAATCTGCCATGGGCCCCTATATATACCGCCTCCTCATGCTGCTGCCAAGTCCAGAGTCTCTCATGGGTCCCTGTACGGCCTCCCATTGCTGCTGTCTCCATCGCCACACTCTGCTGCCATGTGCCACTTTCAGGTCTCTTCACACTGCTGGTGTGTAAAAATTTTTTGACATAGGGTGCAGGCAGATTACGGGCCTCACATAGCTGCTGCCAGGCCCCTAATCTGCCATGGGCCCCTATATACCGCCTCCTCATGCTGCTGCCAAGTCCAGAGAGTCTGTCATGGGTCCCTGTACGGCCGGCCTCCCATTGCTGCTGTCTCCATCGCCACACTCTGCTGCCATGTGCCACTTTCAGGTCTCACTCACACTGCTGGTGTGTGTTAAATTTTTTGACATAGGGTGCAGGCAGATTACGGGCCCACACTAGCTGCTGCTGCCCCCCCTAATCTGCCCCTATGGCCCCCTATATGCTGCCCGCCTCCTCATGCTGCTGCCAAGTCCAGAGTCTGTCATGGGTCCCTGTACGGCCTCCCATTGCTGCTGTCTCCATCGCCACACTCTGCTGCCATGTGCCACTTTCAGGTCTCTTCACACTGGTGTGTTAAATTTTTTGACATAGGGTGCAGGCAGATTTATTACGGGCCTCACATAGCTGCTGCCAGGCCCCTAATCTGCCATGGGCCCCTATATATACCGCCTCCTCATGCTGCTGCCAAGTCCAGAGTCTCTCATGGGTCCCTGTACGGCCTCCCATTGCTGCTGTCTCCATCGCCACACTCTGCCCATGTGCCACTTTCAGGTCTCTTCACACTGCTGGTGTGTTAAATTTTTTGACATAGGGTGCACATAGGGTGCAGGCAGATTACGGGCCTCACATAGCTGCTGCCAGGCCCCTAATCTGCCATGGGCCCCTATATATATACCGCCTCCTCTGCTGCTGCTGCTGCTGCCAAGTCCAGAGTCTCTGTCATGGGTCCCTGTACGGCCTCCCATTGCTGCTGTCTCCATCGCCACACTCTGCTGCCATGTGCCACTTTCAGGTCTCTTCACACTGCTGGTGTGTTAAATTTTTTGACATAGGGTGCAGGCAGATTACGGGCCTCACATAGCTGCTGCCAGGCCCCTAATCTGCCATGGGCCCCTATACCCCTCCTCCCGCCTCCTCATGCTGCTGCCAAGTCCAGAGTCTGTCATGGGTCCCTGTACGGCCTCCCATTGCTGCTGTCTCCATCGCCACACTCTGCTGCCATGTGCCACTTTCAGGTCTCTTCACACTGCTGGTGTGTTAAATTTTTTGACATAGGGTGCAGGCAGATTACGGGCCTCACATAGCTGCTGCCAGGCCCCTAATCTGCCATGGGCCCCCCCCTATATACCTCCTCCTCCTCATGCTGCTGCCAAGTCCAGAGTCTGTCATGGGTCCCTGTACGGCCTCCCATTGCTGCTGTCTCCATCGCCACACTCTGCTGCCATGTGCCACTTTCAGGTCTCTTCACACACTGCTGGTGTGTTAAATTTTTTGACATAGGGTGCAGGCAGATTACGGGCCTCCATAGCTGCTGCCAGGCCCCTAATCTGCCATGGGCCCCTATATACCGCCTCCTCATGCTGCTGCCAAGTCCAGAGTCTCTCATGGGTCCCCCTGTACGGCCTCCCATTGCTGCTGTCTCCATCCATCGCCACTCTGCTGCCATGTGCCACTTTCAGGTCTCTTCACACTGCTGGTGTGTTAAATTTTTTGACATAGGGTGCAGGCAGATTACGGGCCTCACATAGCTGCTGCTGCCAGGCCCCTAATCTGCCATGGGCCCCTATATGGGCCCCTATATACCGCCTCCTCATGCTGCTGCCAAGTCCAGAGTCTGTCATGGGTCCCTGTACGGCCTCCCATTGCTGCTGTCTCCATCGCCACACTCTGCTGCCATGTGCCACTTTCAGGTCTCTTCACACTGCTGGTGTGTTAAATTTTTTGACATAGGGTGCAGGCAGATTACGGGCCTCACATAGCTGCTGCCAGGCCCCTAATCTGCCATGGGCCCCTATATACCGCCTCCCGCCTCCTCATGCTGCTGCCAAGTCCAGAGTCTCTCATGGGTCCCTGTACGGCCTCCCATTGCTGCTGTCTCCATCGCCACACTCTGCTGCCATGTGCCACTTTCAGGTCTCTTCACACTGCTGGTGTGTTAAATTTTTTGACATAGGGTGCAGGCAGATTACGGGCCTCACATAGCTGCTGCCAGGCCCCTAATCTGCCATGGGCCCCTATATACGCCACCGCCTCCTCATGCTGCTGCCAAGTCCAGAGTCTCTCATGGGTCCCTGTACGGCCTCCCATTGCTGCTGTCTCCATCGCCACACTCTGCTGCCATGTGCCACTTTCAGGTCTCTTCACACTGCTGGTGTGTTAAATTTTTTGACATAGGGTGCAGGCAGATTACGGGCCTCACATAGCTGCTGCCAGGCCCCTAATCTGCCATGGGCCCCTATATACCCTCCCTCCTCTGCTGCTGCCAAGTCCAGAGTCTCTCATGGGTCCCTGTACGGCCTCCCATTGCTGCTGTCTCCATCGCCACACTCTGCTGCCATGTGCCACTTTCAGGTCTCTTCACACTGCTGGTGTGTTAAATTTTTTGACATAGGGTGCAGGCAGATTACGGGCCTCACATAGCTGCTGCCAGGCCCCTAATCTGCCATGGGCCCCTATATACCGCCTCCTCATGCTGCTGCCAAGTCCAGAGTCTGTCATGGGTCCCTGTACGGCCTCCCATTGCTGCTGTCTCCATCGCCACACTCTGCTGCCATGTGCCACTTTCAGGTCTCTTCACACTGCTGGTGTGTTAAATTTTTTGACATAGGGGGTGCAGGCAGATTACGGGCCTCCATAGCTGCTGCCAGGCCCCTAATCTGCCATGGGCCCCTATATACCCCTGCCTCCTCATGCTGCTGCCAAGTCCAGAGTCTGTCATGGGTCCCTGTACGGCCTCCCATTGCTGCTGTCTCCATCGCCACACTGCTGCTGTGCCACTTTCAGGTCTCCACACACACTGCTGGTGTGTTAAATTTTTTGACATAGGGTGCAGGCAGATTACGGGCCTCACATAGCTGCTGCCAGGCCCCTAATCTGCCATGGGCCCCTATATACCGCCTCCTCATGCTGCTGCCAAGTCCAGAGTCTCTCATGGGTCCCTGTACGGCCTCCCATTGCTGCTGTCTCCATCCACACTCTGCTGCCATGTGCCACTTTCAGGTCTCCTCACACTGCTGGTGTGTTTTATTTTTTGACATAGGGTGCAGGCAGATTACGGGCCTCACATAGCTGCTGCCAGGCCCCTAATCTGCCATGGGCCCCTATATACCGCCTCCTCCTCATGCTGCTGCCAAGTCCAGAGTCTCTCATGGGGTCCCTGTACGGCCTCCCATTGCTGCTGTCTCCATCGCCACACTCTGCTGCCATGTGCCACTTTCAGGTCTCCTCTTCACACTGCTGTGTGTTGTGTTAAATTTTTTGACATAGGGTGCAGGCAGATTACGGGCCTCACATAGCTGCTGCCAGGCCCCTAATCTGCCATGGGCCCCTATATACCGCCCTCCTCATGCTGCTGCCAAGTCCAGAGTCTGTCATGGGTCCCTGTATGGCCTCCCATTGCTGCTGTCTCCATCGCCACACTCTGCTGCCATGTGCCACTTTCAGGTCTCTTCACACTGCTGGTGTGTTAAATTTTTTGACATAGGGTGCAGGCAGATTACGGGCCTCACATAGCTGCTGCCAGGCCCCTAATCTGCCATGGGCCCCTATATACCGCCTCCTCATGCTGCTGCCAAGTCCAGAGTCTCTCATGGGTCCCTGTACGGCCTCCCATTGCTGCTGTCTCCATCGCCACACTCTGCTGCCATGTGCCACTTTCAGGTCTCTTCACACTGCTGGTGTGTTAAATTTTTTGACATAGGGTGCAGGCAGATTACGGGCCTCACATAGCTGCTGCCAGACATGTAATCTGCCATGCCCCCCCGTACCGACTCCTCATGCTGTGACGTTGCAACAAGGTGGAATTCAACCCTACATATGTTAGACCGCCTTTACGAACAGCAGCTAAAGGCCATCACAGATTTCCTGATGTTAAAAGCGGATAAAGGTACTCCCTGTGTAACTTAGATGTCAGCCATTGGCAGCTCATGTGTGACACCTGCGCTTGCTGCTCAGGCCCTTTGAGGAGGCCACGCTATTCGTGAGTCGGCGGCAGGACTATGGGATGAATGAGGTCAAATCGGCCATGGGCCCCCGTACCGCCTGTTCACGCTGATGCTGGTCCCACAGTGTGACCTGGGTCCCTGTACGGCCTTCCATTGCTTCCACTCTGCCATGTGCCACTTTGAAATCTCCTCACACTCCTGCGGTTGTCCATTTTGTCATAGGTTGCTGGCAGATTACAGGCCTTCCATAGGTGCCACCAAGCCCCATATCGGCCATGGGCCCCCGTACCGCCTGGTCACGCTGCTGCTGGGCCCATAGTGTGACCTGGGTCCCTGTACCGCCTCCCATTGCTCCCACTCTGCCATGTGCCACTTTCAGGTCTCCTCACGCTCCTGCTGGTTTCCATTTTGTCATAGGTTGCTGTATGGCCTCCCATTGCTGCTGCCTCCACCGCCACACTGTGGCTCCAAACACTGGTTTTGGCCCCGTGACTGGCCAAAGGAGTGAAGTGTGCAGTGATTCTAAGATCGACGGCACTCATCTGCATGTCATACTGACAGACAGTATTATTTCTCTTCCCCAGCAGACTCCAAGGGCATTTAAATTAAAGGTACAGTGTTCTGCACTAATATAATTAAGTCTCTCTGAAGCCTAGAAACACCCTTTTTTAAGTTAAATTCACAGCGAATTTATTCGACTCGAATCGAATATTGTCCACGAATTCGCCGAATCAGTCGAATCGAATTTTTCATTTCTTCAGAGGACCCAGACGCACCGTGGCAGTATGCTGTGGAGATGGAGGCAGGGAGTCCCTCGCATTCCTTGGCACAAATGGCCCATAGCATGCTCGGTTGCTTGCGTAGCGACAGCCGAATAATAACCATCAGACAGAGGGATGACTTTTGGCTGTCCACCTTGTTGGACCCTCGCTACCGTTCAAAAATGGTGGCCTTTTTCACACCTGCTGAGAGGGAGGCCAAAATAACGTACTATAAAAAGCACCTATGTAGTCAGTTGGTCTCTGCCTTTCTGCGCCAACGTCCATCCTCAGACACTGTGGGCCCTGTGCGCTCACGTTCCGCTGCCATGGCAGCAGGGGAGGGGTGGGGTGGTAGGAGCAGTGGCAGCTCCACCAGCAGCGGCTGCCTCAGTCTGCAGTCGATGATGAGTAGCTTTCTTCACCAGCGCAGTGAGGAAACTACTAACCAGCCGCAGCAGCAGCAGCATCAGGTGGACCTGGAGCAGGACCTCAAACAACAGGCTTGGGCCTACTTGGACAGCACCCTGCCAACCGAGGTAGACAATCCCCTTGACTACTGGGCAACGAAACTTGACCTTTGGCCCCAACTAGCTGAATTTGCCCTTGAAAGGCTGTCATGCCCGGCCAGTAGCGTGGCATCGGAGCGCGTGTTTAGTGCGGCAGGAGGTATTGTAACTCCGCGGAGGACACGACTGTCCACCCAAAGTGTGGAGAAACTCACGTTTGTGAAAATGAATCAGGCGTGGATTAGTCTGGATTTCAAACCACCAGTTCCTGACACAACTGACTAAATCCGCCGTGAATCATGCCCCAAACATGTTATTATTTTTAACATAGGCCTCTGTATGGCCTTCAATTTAAGCTGCTTACGCTTCGCCACTCTGCCATGGGCCCCTGTACCGCCTCCTCTTGCTGCTGCCAGGTCCAGAGTGTCTCATGGGTCCCTGTGCGGCCTCCCATTGCTGCTGTCTCCATCGCCACACTCTGCCATGTGCCACTTTCAGGTCTCCTCACACTGCTGGTGGGTTCCATTTTGTCATAGGGTGCTGGCAGATTACGGGCCTCCCATTGCTGCTGCCAGGCCCGTAATCTGCCATGGGCCCCCGTACCGCCTCCTCATGCTGCTGCCAGGTCCAGAGTGTCTCATGGGTCCCTGTACGGCCTCCCATTGCTGCTGTCTCCATCGCCACACTCTGCCATGTGCCACTTTCAGGTCCCCTCACACTGCTGGTGGGTTCCATTTTGTCATAGGGTGCTGGCAGATTACGGGCCTCCCATTGCTGCTGCCAGGCCCGTAATCTGCCATGGGCCCCCGTACCGCCTCCTCATGCTGCTGCCAGGTCCAGAGTGTCTCATGGGTCCCTGTACGGCCTCCCATTGCTGCTGTCTCCATCGCCACACTCTGCCATGTGCCACTTTCAGGTCTCCTCACACTGCTGGTGGGTTCCATTTTGTCATAGGGTGCTGTATGGCCTCCCATTGCTGCTGCCTCCAGCGCCACACTGTGGCTCCACACTCTGGTTTTGGCCCCGTGACTGCCCAAATGAGTGAAGTGTGCGGTGATTCTAAGATCGACGGCACTCATCTGCATGTCATACTGACTGACAGTATTATTTCTCTTCCCCAGCAGACTCCAAGGGCATTTAAATTAAAGGTACAGTGTTCTGCACTAATATAAAGGCTCTCTGAAGCCTAGAAACACCCTTTTTATAAGTTAAATTCGCAGCGAATATATTCGACTCGAATCAAATTTTTTCCGCGAATTCGCCGAATCAGCCGAATCGAATTTTTGAATACTTCGCACATCTCTAGATAAGACCATCCACCAATTGAAGATCTGATGCAGAAAAAGATCCCTGACCAGTATAATGGTGACTTTACTTACAATGTAGAATTCAGCTTGTGCATTAGTTGATTGAAAATTTCCAATCACTGCAAGGCAGGGCCAGAAATAATATTTAGTTTGGGGGGGGGGGTGGGGGGTGGGGGGTAGGATGGTTTGGCACAGGTACCAGGTAAAGTCTTCTTAATAAAATTATATATTCAGACTATGGTGGTCTATTATCCAGTCATAAAGTGGAAACTAGCCAAGTGCAAAGTGAATGTGCTGCCTACCACAATAAGGTGCCCTTTTCACCAGCTCAGTAAGGTTGGCATTTATGGTGCAAAGGTCGCCATTTTGTGTCAGACAGAGTGCTCATTGATTTCTTTACCCTTTATGGATAAAAAAAAACATTGTGAATGC